CAAGAAGATTGAACAGGGGCAGCTATTGTACCCCAAAATTTTCCCTCTCATTTATCAAGATTTTCCTCACAAGACTTCTTTGACTCAAGACAAGATTAGGGTTTGGTCAGCTCAAGGCATCACCTTGCACTGATAACCTGAAATTAGGGTTTGAGTTTGCACAAAGATTTTTGGACCATCAAGGCTTCATGTGACTTTCATACATCATGTTGGACCTCTAAGATTGCTCATACCAAGTTTCAAGACTTGAACCACATTTTTGACCAGTCAATTGGACAGTTAACCTAAAAATTAGCTGTATTGGGGAAAAAGTCAACCATGGCCAATTTACAGTCAAACTTCATAATTTTTTATCCATAACAACATTTTAGGCTCCTATGTACCATTTGATCAAGTTTGGATCACAACTCCTCAAGAAATTTGATTAGATCATCAAAAGGGCAAAATGGTCAAATTAGAGTTTTGACTGAGAAAGGGCAATTTCTGATTTTTTAACCTAGCCAATGACCAATTGGGTTCAAACATGATTTCAAGGACTCAATAGCATCATCTTGACCTAATCATATGGTTCAAAAGATCTCAAGTATATAGGATTGACAAATGAATTTTACAATCTACTGATCAAAAGTCAATTGTACACTAAAAAGTCAAAGTTTGACTTTTTGGTCAAAATCAAGTGCCAAGGGTCATAATTCATCAAGGTATGTCAAAATATGAAACTTGTTGATCAAGAAAACTAATTTTGCAAATTAGGATTTTAATTTGAAAAATTTTCATAACTTAGAATTTTTCTAAGTATGGAAGTTTTCTTATTTTTTCCCAAATTTTTCACAACTTTTTCACCATGATGCAATTGGATTCAAAGAAAACTTCCAACATGAAAGTTTTAGTCCTCCATAAAATCTACAACTTTGATTCACAAAGTTTTCCTAAAAGATGCTTGGATCTCAAGTTATGAATTTATGAATAGGGGTCAATGAACTAAATGACTTAGTGAAAATTTGCCCTAATTTAGGTAGGTTTTTGACCCAACTTCATGGACATTTTTCACCTAGTTCCAAGAGGAATCTCAAAATTCATTTCAAAGGTGAATTGTAGAGAATGTTGCAAGCTTTCCAAAATGTCCAAGAACTCTCCAAGATCATTTGTGGTTAGGGAGAATCGAAGAAGAGAAAATGGCATTTTGTCACTTTTGTTCAAGTCATTTTCACAATGCATCAAGTTGCAAATATGATCAAGCATGCTTGTACCTTGCATTACAGGTCCTAAATCCCTTATACACTCCATAATTAAATGCTAGCTTAGTGGTTAATGGCTTTATTTTGGCTTTTGGAGTATTGTACAAATAATAAATCCATTAATGACATAAAGGGCACATTGCCATTTTGATAAAGCAAGCTTTTCGAACTTTATCAGCCTTGAGCCTTGGACTTGTTCCTTTGGTACAGGCATTTTCCACAGATCACAAGCAAAGTATACCAATCCTTGCATCTCACAAGATAGCTAAGTACATGCCTGCTAGCATGGTCAATTCAACTTTTCTTAAAATGCAAGAAAGTTGGCCAAAAGTTAAAAACTTGTACAAGCTGATAAAGGGAGGGCTTGGCATCATTCTAGACACATTCACAAACTTGTTACAAGCTAGCACACGAAGGCTTGTGAACTGAAACTATCCAAAACACAAAAAAAACACATTTTTCTGCCCAAACATTGCAGTTTCTGCAAAACCAAAGCCAAGTCATATTTTGCTCGTGCGTTTTGCCTCTTGACACTTGAAACACTTCATCCACATCATATACAAGCTATCCAATCATTCATCCTGCAACTGTGAGCTCTGTTTCAGACATCACCATTTTCAAACTTGGAGGTTGCAGCTTGACTTCTACAGGGAGTTTCAGCCATCCACAAAGCCAGCTAAGCATTGGAATAGCTTGAGGGAACTTCAAGGAAGCTCACACGATCCTCAGGCCTCACTCAAAGTCCCCACATTGCCATATCCAAATCCAGCTGAATGAGGTATTTTTCAAAACTTTATCTCTCTATTTAGGCATCCTCAAGCCACGATTTGTGAAGCAAAAATATAGTCTCTAGCATGGTGAAACTGTACATATGCATAGTTGTCATTTATATTAACTGAGCTAAGAGAATTTGATTGTTGAACATGCTGAAAAAATTAGGTCAGAAATTAGGGGTTATAAAATTCTCCCTGATCTTTGAGAGTTAGGTCATGAATTTTATATCATTGGAATCGTGAGATTACAAGCTACATTTTTATGTTATGGGTTTTCATTTTTATGCAAGCTACAACAACTTACAGGTTTAAGGCAAAACGCGCGCGCAGGATGTTTGGCTGGAGGACAGGGATGACCTGGCCTGGGCTTGGGCGCGCTTGGGCCTTCGGTTTTGTTTTCCACACCCCTCTGACTACTATTTGCACCCCCTTTGCATATTTTGTATATTTTGCATATTTTGCATATTTTCTCATATTTTTTATGTTTATTAATTTTAATATTTTTTCCGAACATCAAAAAATCATGAAAAATATTTTCTTTATTTTTTGCATTTTATTTTATTTTTTTATCTTATTTTTTGCATAAAATATTGATTTATTAGAATAAGTAGAATCTATTTTTTCTTAAAATAAATAGTAAACACATTTAAAAATATCATACATTTTTATTTTTATTCATACACATAAAATATTACTTCCATACATATTTTAATTTTTAATATTTGTTAATAATATTATTTATTATTTCTTGTTCAAAAATAGACAAAATAAATAATATAGAACATACTTTTCTTTTAATCAAAAAACTAGGGTTTCACCCTTTTAAAAATAACAATATTATTTTTCTTATTTTTAGGACTTAAATAATTTTATTTTTTTTCATACATAAAATTAATACAAGACATTTTTGCATAAATACATTTTATTTGCATATTTAAATATTTGTATATTTATTTATCTTGTACAATAATTCAATTGGGTTGTAATAGTATTTTAGGGTTTTATTTTGTGCAAATATCCTCATTCAAAAACTTGTATCCCCCTCCCATAATAATTGTTGTAATAGTTTAGTTTTACTTTACGCAATTTATCGCATTTATACTTATGTAGTAAATTAGGGTTTTGCATGATAAGACAAAAATCAAACAAATAGCAAAAACCTAATACAAGACAAATGCATGTAATATGACACACATTGCACACAAGCACCCTTAGGGTTTCACCCACTTGGTTGCCTAAATAAAATGGTCATGGTATGCATGAAAAGTATCTTGGCAAAGCAAAACAAACAAATAAGATCATAGTCCCTCGATGACGCTATCAAAAGGTTGCCTAAAACAAATGATCTTGGTCCCTCCAAACATGCCAATATACTTAGCAACATTGCTATCATGATCATACGATGACCCACGCCCGTCCCGTTTAACATCCAAAGATAGGGTTGTTTACCAAATCAATGGTAAATCAACCATATCAAAGGAATAAAAATATACAAGAAAGACTTTTGAGTAGGTAGAACGCTTCTAGTTACTTGATCAATTTGCAAACAATCCTTGCTATTTTCAAAAATACACACACATTTCAAAATATTTTCTAAACAACTTTTAAAACATTGAAACATTTTTCAAAAGACAAACATCTTTGTATACATTCTTACGAACGAGAATCATTACAAAGATTGCTTAAACGATGGCCTCTTTTCAAAATACTTTCAAAATCAAACACAAAGCACCATTTCAAACAATTTCAAAGCAAAACAAGTGATCTAAGCAAGTAACTAAGAGCCCATGGAAAACCATGGATGAAAAGGGTGCTAGCACCTTCCCTTTTCATAATCTACCCTCGAACTCAAGAAAACATCTCAAAGGTCTTTCCTGTGCTTTTTTACCTTTCCTTTTGGATAAAATAAAAGTCGGTGGCGACTCTTGTTAAACCGCGACATTTGCGACGAAACGCAAAACCTCAAATCAGTTCTCCCACCGTATCACATCCTCCAAAGACACGTGACCAACAACTCTATGTATTCCACAAAGCCGTTCTACAAACACCATTTCATTTAAACCAAAATCTTTTACATTAAAATTACTTTTTTGCATTTACTTTCAGTTCTTTCGACTTTGACCATTGTCAAAGCCCTTTTTATATTTCCACCACCTTTACTTTTTCTCTTTTATTTTACTTTCAAGATTTCGCCTACGTCGAATCTTTGTCTTTTTACACAAAATTGTATAAATTTCAAAAAGATTATGCATATATATTTTAGGATCTTCTAGTCAAACTTGTAAATATTTTTTGAAAAATTAATATTTATTTACTAAATTTCACGGTAAATAATATATTACACAGGTTTTTATGATATTCAATTTGAAGGCTAAGAGAAAAAGAGAATATTTATTTTACACTTAGTTGTTGATATCATTTTGGTATATAGTTTTTATTTGTTATTATTAGAGATTATGGTTTGTGTTTTTTGAATTTATATTTTCTATTATTGTCTTCTTGTAACCATATATATTTAGTTGTTAAATCTCATTTAAAGCCGGCGTATACTTATGTTTTTTTATTGCATTCATTCGAATATTCAACTTCTACATCTATTTCATTGTCATCTTTATAACTCACATCTTCATTATCATCATTAATTTTAGTATTAACATGTACATCTTCATCCTTCATGTCACCTTCTTGGTCTTCATGTTTCCCTGTGGGTTTTGTTCAGTTTCAACATGTGGCATTTCATCATTTACTTAAGCTTTTTTATCATTCTTGTTTTGTCTAGTTTCAAGACGTGCCTTTTTGAAAAGTGCCAAAATTACCTAAAAAAACTGATGCATCCAAATAAAAAGGAAAAAATGCCAGCGAAATAAGGGACCGTTTTACTAATTTTTTAAATTAAAAAACTAGCACCAAACCAACACTCAAAAATAACTAACATAACATAACAAAACTCAACATGAATTGAATCAAAGAAAATGAGAGGAAAGTTTACCGGTGATGGGGTGGCGGTCGGAGCAAGCGGCAAGCGACGCGGGTCCGGTCGGAGGATCACGGTGGTGGATGTGCGCGTGAAGGACTCGCGACCAGAAGGGTGCGAAAACAGCAGAGCGGTGGTTCACGATGCATTCCCGGAGCAAATTCAGATGGGGGATCTGGGCGGAGCCGGGGCGTCCGCCGGCGGTTGAGTGTGTTGGCTGCATCAGATTCGCGGCGTCGGCTGCGTTCCCTTCTTCCTCTTCTACTTTCCGATCCGCTTCGACGTTTGTTGCTTCTGTTTTTGTTGTCTCATCTCAAATCTGCAAGTGATGAGTGTTAGTGATTGTTGTTTCAAACAATTAAGACTGTTGTTCTTTGTTTTCGTGTAAAGGCTATGAGTTTGTGTTTGTGGGGTTGTTTGGACTTTGTGGAGATGTTATAGGTTTTGCAAAGTTTCACAGGTTATGAAAATATAGGTAATACTTTCACATTTTTTCAAATATTTTTAATCAAATATAGGTGATAAATCAAATTAAAATCTTTTTTTTTTCTTGTCATTTTTTTAATCAAATGAAAATATAGGTGATAAATCCATAATGTGTTTTCATTTAAAATAGTCACAATAGTAGAATTTGCAAAAATAAATAATTTTTAACTTATAAATAATTAACTAAATTAAATATAGATAATATTTCACAACTTTCAATATTTATAATCAAGTAAAAATACAATTGATAAATCAATAATGATTTTTTTAAAGGCCACGATAGCAGAACATGCAAAACAAAAAATTCTAAACAATAATTAATAATATCTGAAACTTCCTAACAATGCAATAAATTATAATAACAAAAAATTTATATGCTTTAGACATGTATATTTTTGTGAAATGAATAATATAAAATTCCATAACAATAAAAAAATATAATTTTTATTTTTGCAAAAGATATAAAGGACTAAGAGAGCTTTAAAAAAGTGTATAATGTTAAATTGTAATTCGATTATGTCGAAACAGTGTGTCGAAGGGAGGTTGCTCAGTCGGAGAGTTTGTAGATCGAAGCAAGTTACACACGGATTTGATTGATTTAGGGATCAAGCTAACCTAAATAGAGGGAGTAACCCCTAATTTTATAATTAAGTCAATTCATTGTAATCACAGAATTTGTAGTTGCAAGTGATTAATAAAGTTTTCCACAGTTTGTGAGCAGAGAGAAACTCTGCAGAAAATAATTGTTTTTTTTCTTTTTTCCCCCCTCATATTTCATGGTCATTGTATGGTGATATCAATCTTGTTCATCAAGATTGGTAGAAATTCATCATAGATATTTGGTGGATTTTCAACATCTGTTATCAAAGCTCAGTTAATCGATTTAAGAGAAATATCGATCAAGAACAATTGAGGAAGAAGAAGAATTCACCATGGCGAATTATGAGAATGCAAATTATCCAACAACTCTACCAATTCTGAAAGTAGACAACTATGAGAATTGGTGCAAACAGATGAAAGTTTTATTCAGGTGTTAAGGTCTTTGGGATCTTGTAAAGGATGAATTAGAAGCGCTTGGAGAAAACGCTTCAGAAGAAGAAAAGAAGAAACACACAGAATCGAATCCAAAATTTTTTGAAAAAGTGAGTGATTCAGAATCTGCAAAAGAAGCTTGGGAGGTTCTTGAGAGGTTCTTGAGAAGTCTTTTGGTGGCGTAGAAAAAGTGAAAGAAGTGAGGTTATAAACTCACAAGAAAACGTATAAATTACTTCAGATGAAAGATAGTGAGAGCATATCTGATCTATTCGGTCTCGAGTGTTACATCAAAAAATGTTAAATGGAATATAAATTATAAAAAAATTTATGACATATTTATTTGACAAACTTTTAAGCAAAATTTATTTGATATTTATATTTAAAATAAACATAGATTTCTATAAAATATTAAAAACTTAAAAGTTTTGGTGTAGATTGAGAATTTTTGTAATATTTATATTTAAAATAAATATAGATTTCTATAAAATATTAAATATTTAAAAATTTAGGTTTAGATTGAAAGTCTTTGTAAGACTGCCACATCATCATAATTTATTTGATATTTATATTTAAAATAATTATATATTTATAATAATAATAATAATAATAATAATAATAATAATAATAATTTTACTATTATTATTAATTAGATATTATATTATCATTATTAATAGTAGTTTAATATTATTATAATTTGAGAATTAATGATTTTGTAATAAAAAATGAGAATCAGAATATTATGATATAATAATATTAATTGAATATATTATTATTTATAATTGTGGTAGTTTGTTATTATATTATTGTTATTATTATTATTTTACTATTATTATTAACTAGATATTATATTATTATTATTAATAATGGTGGTTTAATATTATTATTATTATTATTATTATTATTATTATTATTATTATTTTAATATCTTGTTAATTGTGGCATTGAGTTGGAGTTGGTGTGAAAATTTTTTAAAAAATGATAAAAATTCTAGTATGATGTCATATAAAAATTAAAGAATTAAGGGGTTAATTTTGATATCAAGTGGTTTCAGTCCCTCTTGATCGTAATTGTGGGGGATCGAATCGTGATACTCCCTACTAAGTCCAATATCAATTATCACTGAATTAATTAACGATTGATATTTTACAACCATTTAAAATTGAAGACCCTACCAAATTCAACACCAATTACCACTGAACCAACTAAAGATTAATATTTTACAACCATTTTAAATTGAAGAGTTATTTCACATTTTATCCATGTATTTATGATTCATTAACTATCATAATTTAATTTTCAAATCTCAACATATAATTAATAATTATTATGAAGTGGTTTTGACTAGGGGTGACAAAGCGGACGATCCGTCCCATTTAGGCCCGTCCCGTTTAAGCTCGTCCAAAAGTGGAGCAGAGCGGGGCGGACCAATGTAGAGGTCCAAGCTTAAAAGTCAAATTCATCCCGTTTACTAACGAGTTGGCGGGTCAGTCCGTCTATTTTTTATTTTTTTTATTTTACAATTTGATTTAATACATAATTTATAAAAAATTTAATTATTATCAAAGAGGTCGATAAAGAAATTTTTTTAACAATGCATAATAGAATTTCAAGATGTCTTAAGTTCAAACAATTCAAAAAATTTAATAAATAAAGACCAATTACAACAAAAAAAAACAAAATAAACTCAAACACAATAAAAAATATCAAAATAAATAAACAATACATATCATCCTAATCCTATTTAAAAACTAACTACTAAAAGAACTCAATTTAGAATTTACACAAAACCAACAATGATAACAATAACATTGCATAAAACATCACAGTGCATAAAATAATAATGCGTAAAATATCAACACAAAACTTTCTCACTATTTTCATTATATATACTCTTATATTGACCGATTCTTTAATAGTTAAATCATAAATTTGTCAAACGTATACACTAATCAAATTATTCCCTTTCTTAAAATCAACATCTATTTCTAAAAAAAACATCTGAGCTAATATATTGAAAACTTAATAAGTATGCATGTCATACATTTGTTATTTTATTTCAATCAATTTCAATCAACGCATGTATTAGAAACTTATAGAAATAACGTTACAATTATAATTCAATTTGTTTGTATAATAATTTATAATACAATTCTAAGTTATAAGTGTTGTTTTTATAGTTAAAGTTGTTTTTAATTCTTAATGAAAAGAGTAAAAGTTTTAACAAAAAACCCGTCCCGCTCCGCCTCGGCCCACTTTTTAAAGCGGGTTAGGCGGAACAGACCAACTTAAGGTATCGAGCCGAAAATCTCAGTTCAGCCTGTCAAAAATGGCGGGTCTAATGGGCCAACCTGACAGGCCCAACCCGTTTTGTCACCTCTAGTTTTAATCACTAATATCTGGCCCGCTAGACCAATAATTTAATTCAAGGTCAATTTTAACATTAAGTAGTTTCATTCTCCTTTTAATCTGAGTTGCGAGAGATCGAACCATGATCATTCCTTTCAAATTCAATATATATCACCAATGAAACAACTAAGGATTAATTATTCAACAATTACTTTAAATTGAAGAATTCTTTCAAATTTTATATATAACTTTATTAAGTAGTTTCAGTCTCCTTCAGATCACAATTGCAGAGTATCAAATTATGATCATTCATTTCAAATTAAATTACATATCACCACTAAAACAACTAACGGTTAGTTATTTAACCATTACTTTAAATTGAAGAGTTATTTCATAATTTATATATAACTTTGTTGTTGATTCATAACTGCAATTTATAAAAAAATCTTTAATGAGTTTTCAATAATGTATTTTATTAAAAGAGTTGAAAAAATTATAGTCATTAATAGTATATTAATGTTTCATTAATGACTTTCCAATTATGTATTTTATTAATTATATATGAAAAAGAAATTAAAAGAGTCAAAAAAGTGATAATTATAACTACTAAAGAGTATATTAGGCAATTTTTTTAATATTTGATTAAAAATAAAAAAAATTAAAAGAGTTGAAAGAAAGAATAATAATAAATATCAAATGATATATATTAGACGTACTAATAGTAATATTAAAGAATATATATATTAGACATACTAATAGTAATTTTTTCTTAATATTCCTACCACAGTTTTGTGTGGAGAATACTACGTTTATAAAAGTATTATTAGTTAATTTTAATTATCATAAATATAAATTGAAAATACTCCCTCTATTTTAAATTATAAGTTATTTTGCAAAAATTTTCTCTAAATTATAAGACATTTTTACCATTACAATACAATATTTATAATTTTTTTACAAATATTTTCTTTAACATTTATTGCTATTCCTTTTTCCATTCTTTTAATTTTAGAAAATTCCCATAAAAACACAAGTTTTGTAATATTTTCTTGAAACGCGTAAGTTTAATGTTTTAAAATTTTAAATATAATTTTATTATATTTAATTACATTAAATTTTTTTAATTATAATATCTTTAATATGTGTTCTTAAATTTTTTTTGTAATCAATAAAATATATTATTTTAATTCAAATATAATACATTTCCCAATATAAAATTAATTATGTTGGGTACTATTGTAAAATCATATATAATTTATTTTTCCAATTACAAAATTAATTATGTTGTGAAATTCACAATACTATAATAATTTGGAAAACGAAAATTGTTGGGTTTTGGACTCCCATCCTATGTGG